GAAGGCCTCCGGGTTTGCCCGCCTTGGACGGCAAGCGGCAGGAGGAGGGCTCGGAGGCAGGCAGGGAACCGATCATCGCAAAGCGAAATTCCCCCATAGGGAACATCGCAAAGCGATCGCAAAAACTTCATCGCAAAGCGATTTCATCATTATACAATGCAATCGCTATGTGAGGCACCACTGTATTAAAAGAAAAAAAAATCTAGAATGTATTACCAGAACAGGCCACATGTATTACCAGAACAGGCCACTGGATGGAGCCAGAGACAATGCTATGAATACTTGTTAGTGAAGATTACATAGCATGGTCTCCAGCCAGTTCTGGTAATGCATGCAAACATATTTTTCCTCCCCCCCCCACCTTTCACCATGATATATATAGCATTCACTATTATTGATGGTTTTCAGTATCCACGGGGGGGGGGGGGGGGGGGGTTCGAACCAATCCCCAGCAGATATGGGGCTCCAACTGTACTTAAAATACAGGCCAGTATATCACAACGGTTTACTAAGAAAGTTAAATATGAAACCATTAAAGAGGACATATAATTGAATTTGTATCATGCAATGCCCAGGACCTGGTACAAAACTGCCAATAAATCCTACATCAAGAATTTAAAAAGAGCAGAAACTACTGCAAGCCAAATTAAACTAGCAATAAAGCAAGCAAAGAATAAGCCTGAAAAACAAACTGCCACACTTGTTAAAAACAAAGTCCAAAACCCTGTTGCATCAGCCATGCCTGCTAAAGGGTGGTGATAAAACTGAAAGTGGGAGAGTTTTGGTAATCATTTTTACCTTCTCTCCCTCAGACCGGGGGTTGGGGACCCCTGCTCTACTGTATAAGTAGTATAACCAGCCATAATTTTTTTCTTATGTATTTCCAGAATTTGCATCCACTGAGTTCATTCATATGCTTTATAATCCTCTAACATACAACCTAGTGCAGTGATGGCAAACCTTTTGGGGCCTGAGTGCCCAAACTGAAAAAACAAAACAAAACAAAAAAAAACCCGGCAGGCAGCAGCGGTGGAATGGGGAATCCCAGGCATGGAGATGCCTCAAGACCCCAGTCCAGATCCGTAACTAGCACCAGCTGCTCTGGATCCCAGCCCACCGCCTGTCGGGGCACCAGCATGTGGCGATCTGGCGATTCATGCCTCACCTGCCCACAGAGAGGGCTCTGCGTGCCAGTTGTGGCAGGCGTGCCATAGGTTCGCCATTGCTGATCTAGTGCAACAAATGGAAAAAAACCCACTGGCTTTGGTAACTTTCTTAAATAATCATATAAATTAATCAAGAACATGGCTATAAAAAGCTATGGGTTTGGCAAACTGAATCTCTGAGATGCTGGGGGCAAATAATGCAGGGCTGTTTAGTACCACCAGTTTGTGTTTAAATATTTGACTGTGTGTGAGTGGAAATAAAATGCTAGATTTTTTATTTTGAATTACTGTCATCCGAACCAAGAACCAAGGCATGGGTTCCATTTCTGCTTTACAGCACTAGCAAAATCATATAATGGAATTTCCTCCTAACCCCAGCCAATTAAAAACAGAAGAATTTTACAATATCATATTATCTTTGGTAGTTGGTAGGCTCATGTAGTGAAGCTACCAAAAACAGTACCAACACTGAGATTTTCTGTATACCACCTCTCCACACAATGATATCAAACCACATGCTCAAGTGCTACAAGCTCTGATCCCAAGGCCTAAAGGCCTCAGCTGCCTCATGACTGAAAGATCTGTGGCTCACTTCAGATTCATTTAAATTTACTTGCTAACTCTAGGCTGAAGATTCAAAATATATATATACTTGCTGTGAACTGAAAACAAACAAATGCAACTTCAGCATGAAAAGAAGTCAGAAATTCAAATACAATACTACAGTTTTTGCATTATGACACTGTAAACTAACTGACTGGGAACACAGTTCTCATTATGAAGCCCTGTAATCTAATGTGACAATGTCATGAAATTTAGAGTTGCTTTCTTTCAATCCGTACACTGTAACAGATAATCTGAAGTAAGCAAATGAGGGGGGAAATCCAAGTGAGTGCACACACCACACATTGATGTCTCACAGCATACCTTGTCCTTAACAGACGACAAAGGAAGGTGACTGTCTTTGGGACGTGGTAATGTGGACTTGCAATGCAAAGTGGGCTCAGAAAGTGCATTAGAACTTTTTTCCCTTTCTTCTTGCCTCTGTTCAGGAGCATCATTAACAGCTCCTTGAACTGACGGTGGCTGCTGTCCAAGCACATGTGCCTTTGCCCTTTGCTGCAGAGTGAGCAGATGCTGTTGATACCAATACTGCTGCTGTTCCTAAAACAGAAAAGATGAGAAGGAAAGTTGCATCTAGATTTAAATAAAGAGAGTGTATCTAGAATCTGAAGCAAGCTACATTAACTACTGAAAAATGCAGAATGAATTCTGAAGTATTAAAAACAAAATGTCCCTCGTAAACCCAGAAAAAAACCCAGTTGCTACAACACTTTGTACTACAATAAAATTCAAAAGCTGAAATAATTCTGCAGACAAAAATTGACTCATCAGATGTTAATTCCTGGATGGGTTTTAATTTATGAATTTTTGATTCTAAGATACTTGCAATCTTTTTATTATTTGTTCTTGCTAATTTTTCATGCAAGTTTTAGTTTATTTGGTTCATTATGGATGGCAGGATATTAAAATTTTAATTATAAATTGGCCTAGAGGACAGCATTGCCAGAGAAGTAGCACAAAATGCAATGGAAACAAAATCGCTAAAAATACCTATATATAAAATTAACTGGAATTTCTAATTTTGAAATTATGTTGGCAAGGCAATTTATATTGTGTATTAAAATATTACATTATGTCAGATGCCACTGTGGCAGACAGTGTAGCATATAAACCTGAAATAAGTTGAGACTCGTGTAACATACCCTACCTGAGTGGAAATTTTGCTAATCCAGAATGTTGCACACTATTGATCAGGGTAAGTTACAAGGAGGCTGCTGTGATCATCTCAAAGATATTTTGATTCTGACAGGCTTTTTGCAGTTTAGGCTTCATTTGGTACTAAAATGGGTATTAAACTGCCCAGTGTTATTAATTCTTTTTCACTGTTTTTATTGTATTGTTTTAAATGTTCTTGTTTGATGTATGTTATGAAATGTCTTTAATTGATGGCTTTAATGGTTTTATTATAACTCAATTAATTTTCTTGTTACCTTGGCTTAAATGTTCTTTTTAGTAAAAAGTAAAATTTAAGAAGTAAATAAAATAAATAGCTCATACCTTCCCGATATACCAATAATATATTTTGAGCACAAAAAAAAGTTGCTCTGAAAAATCATGAAACAATAATGAGGGTGCAGAGACAATGCTTAGTGTGGAGCAAACCCTTACATTAGTGTTACTAACCTTAAAGTACTATTTTCCATGTCTAAGACACCCCCACGTATAAGACCACCCCACTTTTCTAACTCAAAATTTCTTTCTTCGCAAGAAAGTGGAGGGGGAAGGCACGGATCAAAGCGCTTTGATTCCTACTTCCCCTCCATTTTTTTGCGAAGAAAGTGCTTTCCCCCTCCACTTTCTTTGGAAGAAAGTGGACGGGGAAAGCAGGAATCATCAAAGTGATTCATCAAAGCAATTCCTGTTTCCCCCCTCCACTTTCTTCCGAAGAAAGTGCTTTCCCCCTCCACTTTCTATCATCCACTTTGAATCATCAAGGCACTTTGATTCTTGCTTCCCCCCCACTGGAGGAGGGAAGCAGGAATCAAAGTGCCTTGATGATTCAAAGTGGATGATAGAAAGTGGAGGGGGAAAGCACTTTTTTGCAAGGAAAGTGGAGGGGGAAAGCACTTTCTTCAGAAGAAAGTGAAGAGGAAAAGCAGGGATTAAAGCACTTTTATCCCTCCGCCCTCCTTACTTCCATGTATAAGACAACCCTAAATTTTTAATCTAAATATTTTAGAGAAAAGTATCATTTTATACACAGAAAAATATGGTAAATATATAAATACATGTGGTGATATGGCCAAATAAAGCTGTCAGATGTCTTATCAGCTAGTCTCTCCCAGAGTTTGAAAATTTTACTTTTTGGGATTATAATCCCTAGAATGGTCCAATCATTTCTGAAGCTTTTTATCGGAGCCAATATGTTGCTTGCATAAGGTCTCTGCACATTATTTGCTCAAGAGCAGACAAATATCAGATGCTCACAGGTATCCTGAGGTGTCCTTCTTTGTAAAAGTAATGCAAAAGTAGGTCTTCTAGCAGCAATTGGCTATTAATATTCTATGAAAAAATGAAAGTACAGGGGACTGAGTTCTTATTTCTATGCTTGAAACTGAGCTCATAATATCTATAAAATGAAAGAGAACAGAAACTAAAGCTAGATTATGCACTGCCTTTGAATCATGTACTGTACTGACTTCGAATTATAATAACTAACAGTTAAGAAATTCCTTTTTGAAAATCGTTCAATTATCTGTGATCACTATTACGTTTTTACTGCTTTTATTGACTGCTGTCTATACTATCCCTTTGCTGTTTCTATTGCTGCTGTTATAATTTTCATATATGTAACTGCCTTATTTTTGAAAATGATTTGTGTGTGTATTTCATTTTGAACACATCAGGATATAAAGCTCTTAATATAAACAAAAAGCAAACACAATCAGAACAACAAATCAACAATATTCTAGTAGTATTTTCAGTGCAAAGCTTAGTATCAACAGCTGTAAATTTTGCAGCCTACTTGCCAGATCTAGTTGCACTGCAGGTCTCACTCATGTTCAAATAAAAAAGCATACTATTGTCTGTTATGTGCAAGTGACATGAATTAAATGAGAAAAGAAGCAACAGGATACTCAATCTCATTAGACATAACTTCTAAAATATTGACAATGTAATCCTTTAGAGAATTAACTTACTATGGATGAAATGATGTTGTTTATTATAAGAAAATTCATAACATTAAGCCCCTTTCTAGCAGGCAAAGAAAGAACCATTGCTATAATTCTTGGGATGTGTGCATGTACCAAGACAGTGCCTCCCCCCAACAAAAAAAAAAAATTACATCAGGGACAAGGATTGTTTGTTTGCCAGCCAGAATTTTCTTACACTAAGTAACAGAATCTCAGCAATTGAGTTTAATGGACCTTAATTGAAGATCAGTGTGAACAAGAAAGTAACAGATTTTGACTTTTAACTGATTCTAAGGCTAGCCCAGCAGATGTTAACAACTGTCTTCAGCAATTTGATTAGCAATGCAAAATACACAATCTTTTAAAAAGAGCCAGAGAAAAAGAGCCAGAGAAATAGAACTAAGTAGAAAAACCTTGTTTTTCATTGTGAAAACAAAATGGGAAAAACATACAGAATGTGTAAACTTCTACTTTAGACAGATGAATAAACAGAGAAATTTTTAAAAAAATACCATGAGAAAATGAGTAAAGCATGTGGAGAATTCCAACAATACATATAATCATGTGCCAATGAGTCAATTCCTTCTTATGGCTTTCTTTTTCAGAATTTCCCAGGTATAGAATTTTCAGAAGTGGTTTATCATTCCTTTCCTCTGGGGACATTCTGGGCAAGGTGGATTTAATTTTTTAAAAATTGAGTTAAATCACAGCCTCTAAACTTGTTTTCCATAAGTCACATGCTACCTTTGAAGGGATGAAGGAGATTTGGCTACGGGGAACATGATCAAGGACGAAGCATATAGGCAAGATGATTTAAATCAGGGGTGTCCAACCTTTCACCTTCCCTGGGCCACACTAGAAGATGAAAATTTGGTGTGGGCCGCACATAAATTTGGTTTGGGCCGCATTGGGGGGGCAGCCCTAGCCGTCCTATGCAGCCCCGCTCCAAGCACGCTTACCGGCGGCTGCGATATCAGACAGCAGAGGCTGCCAGCTTCGACTCCGGTGGCTTTAGGGGGCCGGGAGGGGGTCCACCTATTGACGGGGATGGCGCAATGCAGTCATGCAGCCCCGCTCTCCCCTCCCGCTCCTTCCTTCCTTCCCTCTCTCCCCCTCTACTGTTGTGACATGCCCCGGCCACATTCCGGCTGCAAGTGCTGGCAGTATAACTTGAAACTTTGGAATTTATTTTAAAATAAAAAATTGCACTGGGCCACATTATGAGCCGACCTGGGCCACATGCGGCCCTCGGGCCACAGGTTGGATAAGCCTGATTTAAATCATGATTAAATTTTTAAATTTGGATTTTTTTACTTTAAATTGAAATCATGATTTAAATCAATTTGACTTTTAAAAAACCATTGATTTCTATTGACTATGATCCTGGGTCTGTGCAGCATGCCCAAAGCCACGTATGCTGATCAGCCACAAAATTAAAACCACCTCTCTAATATTATGCACAACCCCCTCATGCTGCGAAAACAACTTTGATGTGTTTTGGAAGCATGGACTCAAGACCTCTAAAATGTGTCCTGTGGTATCTGGCACCAAGACCTTAGCAGTAGATCCTTTGAGTCCTGCAAATTATGAGGTGAGGCCTTAATGGATTGCATTTTGTGTTCCAGCACATCCCGTAGATCAGTGGTCCCCAACCTTGGGCCTCCAGATGTTCTTGGACCACAACTCCCAGAAGCCTTCACCACCACCTCTGCTGGCCAGGATTTCTGGGAGTTGAAGTCCAAGGACATCCGGAGGCCCAAGGTTGAGGACCACTGCCGTAGATGCTCACTCAGACTGAAATTACGGGAATTTGGAGGCCAAAGCAATACCTTGAACTCTTTGTCATGTTCCTCAAACCATTGTTGAACAATTTTTGCAATGTGGCAGGCTGCATATCCTGCTGAAAGAGGCCACAGCCATTTGTGAAGACCGTTGCCATGAAGAGCTGTATGTGAGCTGCAACAATCTCTAGGTAAGCGGTACATGTCAAAGTAACAGCCACTTGAATCTCAGGATGCAAGGTTTTCAGCAGAACATTCCCCAGAGCAAAAGACACCCTCCACAGGCCTGCCTTATTCCAATAATGAATCCTACAGCCATCTCTTCCCTAGCTAAATAATGCACACACACTCGGCCATCCACCTGATCTCAAAAATATGTGATCTGTCAGACCAGGCAACCTTTGTCCACTGCTCCATGGTCCAGTTCTGACACTCACATTCCCATTGTAGGCACTTTCAGCATGGACATTCTGACTGGTCTGCAGCTACACAGCCCCATATGCAGCAAACTGTGATCTACTGTGCATTCTGACACCTTCCTATCATGGCCAGCATTGTATTTTTCAGCAATATGAGCTACAGCAGCTCTTCTGTGTGACTGGACCAGACAGGCTAGCCTTCACTG